AAAAGTCTTTGATGTCGGTCAAAAGTAGTACTGTTTTCGTGTTCAGGAGGTCAAGGAGCATCATTCCTGTGATTTTGAGCGAAATCGAAGGGGTCCGCCCAACGTGCCATATGCAACATACACAATTTGAATGTGCACGCATGCGTATATCTGGAAAAGTCTTTGATGTCGGTCAAAAGGAGCACTATTTTCGTGTTCAGGAGGTCAAGGAGCATCATTCCTGTGATTTTGAGCGAAATCGAAGGGGTCCGCCCAACGTGCCATATGCAACATATGCAATTTGAATGTGCACGGATGCGTATATCTGGAAAAGTCTTTGATGTCGGTCAAAAGTAGCACTATTTTCGTGTTCAGGAGGTCAAGGAGCATCATTCCTGTGATTTTGAACGAAATCGAAGGGGTCCGCCCAACGTGCCATATGCAACATATGCAATTTGAATGTGCACGGATGCGTATATCTGGAAAAGTCTTTGATGTCGGTCAAAAGTAGCACTGTTTTCGTGTTCAGGAGGTCAAGGAGCATCATTCCTGTGATTTTGAGCGAAATCGAAGGGGTCCGCCCAACGTGCCATATGCAACATATACAATTTGAATGTGCACGCATGCGTATATCTGGAAAAGTCTTTGATGTCGGTCAAAAGGAGCACTATTTTCGTGTTCAGGAGGTCAAGGAGCATCATTCCTGTGATTTTGAGCGAAATCGAAGGGGTCCGCCCAACGTGCCATATGCAACATATGCAATTTGAATGTGCACGGATGCGTATATCCGGAAAAGTCTTTGATGTCGGTCAAAAGTAGCACTATTTTCGTGTTCAGGAGGTCAAGGAGCATCATTCCTGTGATTTTGAACGAAATCGAAGGGGTCCGCCCAACGTGCCATATGCAACATATGCAATTTGAATGTGCACGGATGCGTATATCTGGAAAAGTCTTTGATGTCGGTCAAAAGTAGCACTGTTTTCGTGTTCAGGAGGTCAAGGAGCATCATTCCTGTGATTTTGAGCGAAATCGAAGGGGTCCGCCCAACGTGCCATATGCAACATATACAATTTGAATGTGCACGCATGCGTATATCTGGAAAAGTCTTTGATGTCGGTCAAAAGGAGCACTATTTTCGTGTTCAGGAGGTCAAGGAGCATCATTCCTGTGATTTTGAGCGAAATCGAAGGGGTCCGCCCAACGTGCCATATGCAACATATGCAATTTGAATGTGCACGGATGCGTATATCTGGAAAAGTCTTTGATGTCGGTCAAAAGTAGCACTATTTTCGTGTTCAGGAGGTCAAGGAGCATCATTCCTGTGATTTTGAACGAAATCGAAGGGGTCCGCCCAACGTGCCATATGCAACATATGCAATTTGAATGTGCACGGATGCGTATATCTGGAAAAGTCTTTGATGTCGGTCAAAAGTAGCACTGTTTTCGTGTTCAGGAGGTCAAGGAGCATCATTCCTGTGATTTTGAGCGAAATCGAAGGGGTCCGCCCAACGTGCCATATGCAACATATACAATTTGAATGTGCACGCATGCGTATATCTGGAAAAGTCTTTGATGTCGGTCAAAAGGAGCACTATTTTCGTGTTCAGGAGGTCAAGGAGCATCATTCCTGTGATTTTGAGCGAAATCGAAGGGGTCCGCCCAACGTGCCATATGCAACATATGCAATTTGAATGTGCACGGATGCGTATATCCGGAAAAGTCTTTGATGTCGGTCAAAAGTAGCACTATTTTCGTGTTCAGGAGGTCAAGGAGCATCATTCCTGTGATTTTGAACGAAATCGAAGGGGTCCGCCCAACGTGCCATATGCAACATATGCAATTTGAATGTGCACGGATGCGTATATCTGGAAAAGTCTTTGATGTCGGTCAAAAGTAGCACTGTTTTCGTGTTCAGGAGGTCAAGGAGCATCATTCCTGTGATTTTGAGCGAAATCGAAGGGGTCCGCCCAACGTGCCATATGCAACATATACAATTTGAATGTGCACGCATGCGTATATCTGGAAAAGTCTTTGATGTCGGTCAAAAGGAGCACTATTTTCGTGTTCAGGAGGTCAAGGAGCATCATTCCTGTGATTTTGAGCGAAATCGAAGGGGTCCGCCCAACGTGCCATATGCAACATATGCAATTTGAATGTGCACGGATGCGTATATCTGGAAAAGTCTTTGATGTCGGTCAAAAGTAGCACTATTTTCGTGTTCAGGAGGTCAAGGAGCATCATTCCTGTGATTTTGAACGAAATCGAAGGGGTCCGCCCAACGTGCCATATGCAACATATGCAATTTGAATGTGCACGCATGCGTATATCTGGAAAAGTCTTTGATGTCGGTCAAAAGTAGCACTGTTTTCGTGTTCAGGAGGTCAAGGAGCATCATTCCTGTGATTTTGAGCGAAATCGAAGGGGTCCGCCCAACGTGCCATATGCAACATATACAATTTGAATGTGCACGCATGCGTATATCTGGAAAAGTCTTTGATGTCGGTCAAAAGGAGCACTATTTTCGTGTTCAGGAGGTCAAGGAGCATCATTCCTGTGATTTTGAGCGAAATCGAAGGGGTCCGCCCAACGTGCCATATGCAACATATGCAATTTGAATGTGCACGCATGCGTATATCTGGAAAAGTCTTTGATGTCGGTCAAAAGTAGCACTGTTTTCGTGTTCAGGAGGTCAAGGAGCATCATTCCTGTGATTTTGAGCGAAATCGAAGGGGTCCGCCCAACGTGCCATATGCAACATATACAATTTGAATGTGCACGCATGCGTATATCTGGAAAAGTCTTTGATGTCGGTCAAAAGGAGCACTATTTTCGTGTTCAGGAGGTCAAGGAGCATCATTCCTGTGATTTTGAGCGAAATCGAAGGGGTCCACCCAACGTGCCATATGCAACATATGCAATTTGAATGTGCACGGATGCGTATATCTGGAAAAGTCTTTGATGTCGGTCAAAAGTAGCACTATTTTCGTGTTCAGGAGGTCAAGGAGCATCATTCCTGTGATTTTGAACGAAATCGAAGGGGTCCGCCCAACGTGCCATATGCAACATATACAATTTGAATGTGCACGCATGCGTATATCTGGAAAAGTCTTTGATGTCGGTCAAAAGGAGCACTATTTTCGTGTTCAGGAGGTCAAGGAGCATCATTCCTGTGATTTTGAGCGAAATCGAAGGGGTCCGCCCAACGTGCCATATGCAACATATGCAATTTGAATGTGCACGGATGCGTATATCCGGAAAAGTCTTTGATGTCGGTCAAAAGTAGCACTATTTTCGTGTTCAGGAGGTCAAGGAGCATCATTCCTGTGATTTTGAACGAAATCGAAGGGGTCCGCCCAACGTGCCATATGCAACATATGCAATTTGAATGTGCACGGATGCGTATATCTGGAAAAGTCTTTGATGTCGGTCAAAAGTAGCACTGTTTTCGTGTTCAGGAGGTCAAGGAGCATCATTCCTGTGATTTTGAGCGAAATCGAAGGGGTCCGCCCAACGTGCCATATGCAACATATACAATTTGAATGTGCACGCATGCGTATATCTGGAAAAGTCTTTGATGTCGGTCAAAAGGAGCACTATTTTCGTGTTCAGGAGGTCAAGGAGCATCATTCCTGTGATTTTGAGCGAAATCGAAGGGGTCCGCCCAACGTGCCATATGCAACATATGCAATTTGAATGTGCACGGATGCGTATATCTGGAAAAGTCTTTGATGTCGGTCAAAAGTAGCACTATTTTCGTGTTCAGGAGGTCAAGGAGCATCATTCCTGTGATTTTGAACGAAATCGAAGGGGTCCGCCCAACGTGCCATATGCAACATATGCAATTTGAATGTGCACGGATGCGTATATCTGGAAAAGTCTTTGATGTCGGTCAAAAGTAGCACTGTTTTCGTGTTCAGGAGGTCAAGGAGCATCATTCCTGTGATTTTGAGCGAAATCGAAGGGGTCCGCCCAACGTGCCATATGCAACATATACAATTTGAATGTGCACGCATGCGTATATCTGGAAAAGTCTTTGATGTCGGTCAAAAGGAGCACTATTTTCGTGTTCAGGAGGTCAAGGAGCATCATTCCTGTGATTTTGAGCGAAATCGGAGGGGTCCGGCAAGTTCACTTTAGGACGGGAAATCTGAATATCACTTGTATTTGCCTCTTGGCTTAGCTCAATAGGTTTATCGACTGTTTTTCGCCCTTTGGTCTAACAATGCCTCTGGTGCTTAAGTATATTGTTATTGCAGTATGTATAGCTAATGCCCTTCATAAATACGAAGCTGTCACGTGTAAAACGACTCCAAAAAGTGAGAAAAATTGCATGACCTTGAACGACCTTGAACTTTAGAGACTTCTCCTGAGAAAACTATGCAACCGCGTTTGATGCAAATTAGTTTTTTGTAAAGAACTACTCAGTCTTAATCATTTCTGAAATTTTCTTGAAATTTGATGAGGTCCGATTTTTCCGGGAAGGTTTACTAACCAGAATATTGTACTAGTAAAACAAACGTGAATAACTTGGAAAATACGTAATGTCGGTAAATAAAAAAATGATTTTTGCACTTAGGAGCTCATGGTCTATCTGCTGTGCAATTTTCAGCCAAATCGAAGGGGTCCGCGAATGTGCACGCGAATCTGAATGTGAATATGATGCAACTATATGCACGTATTGATAAGCACGTTTTATAAGCAATGGTAGCAAGATTCTCCATATATTTGGTTCAAGTGATAATTTAGTAGCAGATACTTACCGTCGCATTTCGTTTTTTTTATTAATAATTTATATTGTCAGAACTAGCAACATGTCTCTACACTCAACAATAATTACAAAAGTGAAAAAGAAATGATAAATTGCTCATATTTTGGTGAAACTAAAAATTAATTCAGCACATATTTTTTTTACAGCGTTGAAGTCCAGCTCCAAAGGACAGCTGACGATCGTAGCCGAGCAGGCTGTTTGGTACTTCTTCACTACTTCTTAGAAGTACCCGTTAGTACCGATCATGTCTCACATAATAAGCTATTGGAACAAAAATATCCATGTTCTTCTAATTATTCTTCTTTCACACTTTAAATAAATACTTTTAAAATGCATTTTTCGGTTGAAATGCATTTGAAAAATGAAAATGAAATGAAATGAAAAATGAAAACGGTTTCTGCGTTTTCTCGTTCCGGGCGGCCGCCGCGTGGACGGTGTTGTTTATAGCATAGTGATGGATAAGTGATTAAATTAATTAATTATTCATGTTAAATATTATCGTGTTTTAACAAAATCATAATTAAATATTTGTTTTAAAGATTTTACAACTAACAAGAATATATTTTCGATCATAATCATTTGTCAGCTTAATTACAATTATCATATTTGAAGTAGAATGATGAGTTTTGAAACACATTTTGTCTTCTTCAATCATGAATTACACCATTTTCATTATTTACATTTGAAACTGTTCCATCGTCACAATATTATTAGCAACAATCACTTCTAATCATTCATCACTAAAACGAAATCCCGCAGAAACCGAAAAAAAGTTCACAGCTCTGAACTTTTTTTCGGTTCCGACTCGTCGGTTTTTGCGGGTTTTCGTTCCACGGGACGCCAGACTGGCAGTGTAGCTTGCGCAATGCATTCGCTATGAGGCGAACTTGACGACGCGAACCGAAATCCCGCAGGAACCGAAAAAACGTCGGAATTCATGCTAGTGTAGCTTAGGCTTTAGATCTGTAAGATGTCATGAATCAAGAAGCTGCGCGTTACAGACGTTTACGGTGCAGTTTTTTGTTTAGTTTTACAACGTCTGTCAAACTAGCAGCGAGCAGCGAGCAGCGAGTCCAGCAGCGAGAAACGGGCCATCCCGATTTAGCTGAAAATTGGCTCACAGAGCCTTCTCAGCACGCTGATTCCGAAAATCATGGTCTCTATGGTGGAAATATTGACCATTCTCGAGATAGAACCCTCTAAAGTTCATACCATCCATGACCGGGCCATCCCGATTTGGCTGAAAATTGGCTCACAGAGCCTTCTCAGCACGCTGATTCCGAAAATCATGGTCTCTAGGGTGGAAATATTGACCGTTCTCGAGATAGAACCCTCTAAAGTTCTTACCACCCATGACCGGGCCATCCCGATTTGGCTGAAAATTGGCTCACAGAGCCTTCTCAGCACGGTGATTCCGAAAATCATGGTCTCAAGGGTGGAAATATTGACCGTTCTCGAGATAGAACCCTCTAAATTTCTTACCACCCATGACCGGGCCATCCCGATTTGGCTGAAAATTGGCTCACAGAGCCTTCTCAGCACGCTGATTCCGAAAATCATGGTCTCTAGGGTGGAAATATTGACCGTTCTCGAGATAGAACCCTCGCAGCGAGTCCAGCAGCGAGAAACGGGCCATCCCGATTTAGCTGAAATTTGGCTCACAGAGCCTTCTCAGCACGCTGATTTCGAAAATCATGGTCTCTAGGGTGGAAATATTGACCGTTCTCGAGATAGAACCCTCTAAAGTTCTTACCACCCATGACCGGGCCATCCCGATTTGGCTGAAAATTGGCTCACAGAGCCTTCTCAGCACGCTGATTCCGAAAATCATGGTCTCTTGGTTGGAAATATTGACCGTTCTCGAGATAGAACCCTCGCAGCGAGTCCAGCAGCGAGAAACGGGCCATCCCGATTTAGCTGAAATTTGGCTCACAGAGCCTTCTCAGCACGCTGATTCCGAAAATCATGGTCTCTAGGGTGGAAATATTGACCGTTCTCGAGATAGAACCCTCTAAAGTTCTTACCACCCATGACCGGGCCATCCCGATTTGGCTGAAAATTGGCTCACAGAGCCTTCTCAGCACGCTGATTCCGAAAATCATGGTCTCTAGGGTGGAAATATTGACCGTTCTCGAGATAGAACCCTCTAAATTTCTTACCACCCATGACCGGGCCATCCCGATTTGGCTGAAAATTGGCTCACAGAGCCTTCTCAGCACGCTGATTCCGAAAATCATGGTCTCTAGGGTGGAAATATTGACCGTTCTCGAGATAGAACCCTCTAAAGTTCTTACCATCCATGACCGGGCCATCCCGATTTGGCTGAAAATTGGCTCACAGAACCTTCTCAGCACGCTGATTCCGAAAATCATGGTCTCTAGTTTGGAAAAATTGACCGTTCTCGAGATAGAACCCTCTAAAGTTCTTACCACCCATGACCGGGCCATCCCGATTTGGCTGAAAATTGGCTCACAGAGCCTTCTCAGCACGGTGATTCCGAAAATCATGGTCTCAAGGGTGGAAATATTGACCGTTCTCGAGATAGAACCCTCTAAAGTTCTTAGCACCCATGACCGGGCCATCCCGATTTGGCTGAATATTGGCTCACAGAGCCTTCTCAGCACGCTGATTCCGAAAATCATGGTCTCTAGAGTGGAACTATTGACCGTTCTCGAGATAGAACCCTCTAAAGTTCTTACCACCCATGACCGGGCCATCCCGATTTGGCTGAAAATTGGCTCACAGAGCCTTCTCAGCACGCTGATTCCGAAAATCATGGTCTCTAGGGTGGAAATATTGACCGTTCTCGAGATAGAACCCTCTAAAGTTCTTACCATCCATGACCGGGCCATCCCGATTTGGCTGAAAATTGGCTCACAGAGCCTTCTCAGCACGCTGATTCCGAAAATCATGGTCTCAAGGGTGGAAATATTGACCGTTCTCGAGATAGAACCCTCTAAAGTTCTTAGCACCCATGACCGGGCCATCCCGATTTGGCTGAATATTGGCTCACAGAGCCTTCTCAGCACGCTGATTCCGAAAATCATGGTCTCTAGAGTGGAAATATTGACCGTTCTCGAGATAGAACCCTCTAAAGTTCTTACCACCCATGACCGGGCCATCCCGATTTGGCTGAACGGTCAATATTTCCACCCTAGAGACCATGATTTTCGGAATCAGCGTGCTGAGAAGGCTCTGTGAGCCAATTTTCAGCCAAATCGAGATGGCCCGGTCATGGGTGGTGAAATTTAGAGGGTTCTATCTCGAGAACGGTCAATATTTCCACCCTAGAGACCATGATTTTCGGAATCAGCGTGCTGAGAAGGCTCTGTGAGCCAATTTTCAGCCAAATCGGGATGGCCCGGTCATGGATGGTAAGAACTTTAGAGGGTTCTATCTCGAGAACAGTCAATATTTCCACCCAAGAGACCATGATTTTCGGAATCAGCGTGCTGAGAAGAATCTGTGAGCCACGTTTCAGCTAAATCGGGATGGCCCGTTTCTCGCTGCTGGACTCGCTGCGAGGGTTCTATCTCGAGAACGGTCAATATTTCCACCTTAGAGACCATGATTTTCGGAATCAGCGTGCTGAAAAGGCTCTGTGAGCTAATTTTCAGCCAAATCGGGATGGCCCGGTCATGGATGGTAAGAACTTTAGAGGGTTCTATCTCGAGAACGGTCAATATTTCCACCCTTGAGACCATGATTTTCGGAATCAGCGTGCTGAGAAGGCTCTGTGAGCCAATTTTCAGCCAAATCGGGATGGCCCGGTCATGGATGGTAAGAACTTTAGAGGGTTCTATCTCGAGAACGGTCAATATTTCCACCCTAGAGACCATGATTTTCGGAATCAGCGTGCTGAGAAGGCTCTGTGAGCCAATTTTCAGCCAAATCGGGATGGCCCGGTCATAGGTGGTAAGAACTTTAGAGGGTTCTATCTCGAGAACGGTCAATATTTCCACCCAAGAGACCATGATTTTCGGAATCAGCGTGCTGAGAAGGCTCTGTGAGCCAAGTTTCAGCTAAATCGGGATGGCCCGTTTCTCGCTGCTGGACTCGCTGCGAGGGTTCTATCTCGAGAACAGTCAATATTTCCACCCTAGAGACCATGATTTTCGGAATCAGCGTGCTGAGAAGGCTCTGTGAGCCAATTTTCAGCCAATTCGGGATGGCCCGGTCATGGGTGGTAAGAACTTTAGAGGGTTCTATCTCGAGAACGGTCAATATTTCCACCCTTGAGACCATGATTTTCTGAATCACCGTGCTGAGAAGGCTCTGTGAGCCAATTTTCAGCCAAATCGGAATGGCCCGGTCATGGGTGGTAAGAAATTTAGAATGTTCTATCTCGAGAAGGGTCAATATTTCCACCCTAGAGACCATGATTTTCGGAATCAGCGTGCTGAGAAGGCTCTGTGAGCCAATTTTCAGCCAAATCGGGATGGCCCGGTCATGGGTGGTAAGAATTTTAGAGGGCTCTATCTCGAGAACGGTCAATATTTCCACCCTGGAGACCATGATTTTCGGAATCAGCGTGCTGAGAAGGCTCTGTGAGCCAATTTTCAGCCAAATCGGGATGGCCCGGTCATGGGTGGTAAGAACTTTAGAGGGTTCTATCTCGAGAACGGTCAATATTTCCACCCTAGAGACCATGATTTTCGGAATCAGCGTGCTGAGAAGGCTCTGTGAGCTAATTTTCAGCCAAATCGGGATGGCCCGGTCATGGATGGTAAGAACTTTAGAGGGTTCTATCTCGAGAATGGTCAATATTTCCACCCTAGAGACCATGATTTTCGGAATCAGCGTGCTGAGAAGGCTCTGTGAGCCAAGTTTCAGCTAAATCGGGATGGCCCGTTTCTCGCTGCTGGACTCGCTGCGAGGGTTCTTTCTCGAGAACGGTCAATATTTCCACCCTAGATACCATGATTTTCGGAATCAGCGTGCTGAGAAGGCTCTGTGAGCCAATTTTCAGCCAATTCGGGATGGCCCGGTCATGGGTGGTAAGAACTTTAGATGGTTCTATCTCGAGAACGGTCAATATTTCCACCCTAGAGACCATGATTTTCGGAATCAGCGTGCTGAGAAGGCTCTGTAAGCCAATTTTCAGCCAATTCGGGATGGCCCGGTCATGGATGGTAAGAACTTTAGAAGGTCCTATCTCGAGAACGGTCAATATTTCCACCCTTGAGACCATGATTTTCGGAATCAGCTGCTGAGAAGGCTCTGTAAGCCAATTTTCAGCCAAATCGGGATGGCCCGGTCATGGATGGTAAGAACTTTAGAGGGTTCTATCTCGAGAACGGTCATTATTTCCACCCTAGAGACCATGATTTTCGGAATAAGCGTACTGAGAAGGCTCTGTGAGCCAAATTTCAACAAAATCGGGATGGCCCGTTTCTCGCTGCTTGACTC